GGAATACAATCATAAACTTTCAAACTACAAAATTTGCTTTATAAACCTCCTACTGCAGCAGCAACCGAGAGAGCTGGGTGGCAGCCTGAGGTCTTTCATGCTTCTCTGTAGATGGGGGGAGCTGCAAAGGACAGTCAAGTTCTTTTCCAGCCCAGGGGAGACAACAACTTGTTCCCCAAGGTAACATTTCTTCTAGATCAGCTGGGGCTTGTGGTGGTTTTCTGGTTTGTTTTTTTTTATTTATTTGTTTGGTTTTGTTTTTTAATGAGGGGATAAAACATTATAATTACGTACAGGTGGAAAAGACATGTCTATGGCTTCAGTAACTTGCGCCCATTTCAGCCCTGAGCTATGCTTACGACCCTTTTGCGTATCAACTGATTCCCTTTCTCAGGCACCTCTGATATAGTTTGGTTTATCTGTTTACCTTTGCTTCCATTTGGAGGGTGAGAGCTTAAATTAGATCGACCGCACAAAGAGCACAGCACTGTGCAGTGTGACTCAGCTACAGAGAATACTACGCTGCATATAGGACTTAAACTAAATTGCATTTATAAATTCATTTTCCTCTACCTCCTTACCGATCACAGTGCTTAATGAAATACTTGCAACTACAAATCTAAATTAGAAACAGGTAAAAATCCATTTTTATTGGAGTAATATATATTCTTGGCAAAACTAGGCTGAACACGTAAAAATAAAAGCTATGATGTGTCTTCATAATAACATGAACTGTTCATATTCCAGCTAATTATGAAAAATGTTATTTAATACCAAACCTTGGAGATTTCTATGATTTACAGTGGTTTTGAATATGCACTAATATCTCGCCATTTCCACCCCCTTTTTTGTGATTATTTCCACTGTATCAGAAACCAGAAGTTCCCAAAATTAAGTCTGAGCGACCATATTGCACTGACACCCAGAGTCATTCCCTCATTCATGGCAGTGATGGAAGGACCTTTTTATGCCATTTTAGCTCCTTTATGTGGCATAAAGGGATCAAACGAGGAATGAGAATTTCACCTTAGTTTCTTCACGTGAAGAAAATCACCAAAACTGTGAAGCTCAACCACACGCCAGCTGTACACTGCAGAGGCAAACTTGGCCTTCTAGGACATCAGATGCAGGTCACTAATTATGATTTCTAGCACACTACCAAGTTCTAACACAAGGGAACTTATCTTTTCAAGAAATTCCACATTTACAGCATTCCAGCTGATATTAATATAAAGAAAAAAAGCAACCTCCTCCAAAAAAGTTTATTCCCTCTCTTGTTTTTCAGATACTGCGTGAATACGTCCTTTGAAACACACCAGGAAATCCCAGGGATGAACTCATGACATTGCAGACAAAGTGTCCCGGGTTGCTTTTCCAAAGGGTTATCAAGTCGGGTGGCAGCCCTGTATTTTGCCAGTGCTAAGCACACGGGCCTGTCCAGACAGGCGAGCTTGCAAGAGCTCTGCTGGCACATCCAATGCTGGGAAAGGGGTTGAAAGAGCCCTTAACAGAGCTACTCTTCTCAAAATTAAGGAGCAGCTTGCTTCAGTACTTCTGCCAGGAGACAAGACAGAAAAAGAAGTCTGGGAGGTAGAAAAAGGTAGCAGGCAGCAAGTAGAAATCAGGATTTTGCATATAACCTAGAGACAAGCAGCTAAATCTGTCTGTAGAACTAAACTAAGCTACTAGGAGAATAGGTCCACAGGGATAAAAAGCAAATTGTGAGATAGGAAATGATTTGGAGGAATTAAGGAGACTGTGTTATAGTTCTCCCGAACAGTGAAAACACTCCTAAGGGAAGGGTCGCCCTGTGCATCAGGGAAAGGACCTGCAGCAGTATCAGAACCACTGTTCACAGACAACACAATAAACCTCAGAGTGGTGGGAAAAAGTGATTTGTCACACAATTTGCTCAGGTGACAACTTGAAACAAGATGCTCTCCAAAGCACTGTTAGAATTGTGTAGAAAACACAACTGAAGAATTAAAACCACAGAAAAATACTATTATAAGTTCTGTTATCATACTGTTTTCAAAGTACTTCTGATAATTATTAAAAAAAGCTTTTGCCTTTTTGTTGTTGGTATATGAATGAGGAAGTAATATATCCAAACATCCACTGAAATGAATAAATATAAACATTGAATAAGCAACAAAAAAAGTTGAGACGTTTCACTATGTGTGCAGTTGCTTTCATGATGCTGTAAAACATGTTTCTGTATTCAAGAGAATGCTCATCACCCCCCTCCAAAAAAGCACGCAATACTTGAAACCTTAACACTTCCAGCTGTATGAAATTCCGCTAAAATTACTGTCATCATAAAACACCCACTTTTCTTTTTTCTGAGCCATAAAATACATATCTCCAAAACCCAATTTAGAATGACAATAGAGTTTATTAGCTATTAAGCACTTCTCCAAGATAATTCCACCTTAAACTTTCGAGATTATGCAGCTGCCAAAACTATAAAAAGGCTGCACGCTTTCAACGGTTTTGCCTAATCAAATTAAGAGACCAAACTATTAACATTCTGCTTACCTCCTAAATTCATCCCTGCTTGCAGACATTTCTGTAATCGACAGGCTGGGCAGTTCTTCCTCCGAATCTTATCAATTATGCAGTCGTTCCTCCCTGCACACAGGTAATTGTGTTGTCCTGAATGAACCAAAACCAAAATGTGTTATTAGAGGATGTACTTACATAAGCCCCATTTTTCTTCTTTGTTGTTCTGCGGGCATTCCCAATCCCATTCTTTGGCCTTCCCCATAATCTTGGTGACTTGTCCTGGGCATCTTTTCTGTTCAGTTTGGGAAAGAGATTTGGCATGCCAGTCCCAAGAGAGATCTCATCAACTTTTTTCTAGGCAGGACTAGAATTTTTCTTTTTACAAAAATCAAACGATTTATTTGAGTTTTTTCTGATCTTCTTACATGTGCTGTACCACACAGCAGCCTGAAAACAGTCAAGTATGGTACAAAATCAGGGGTATAAAACTTCTTATTCTAAAAAAGTTCACAATCTAAAGTGGGAACCCAAAGTAGAGGTTAACTTTCCCAATATGCTTCACTCCCCAACCAGTTCACTCCATTTCTGATTTAATCGGACACCTTCTACACAGCAAAAGTTTTCCAAAGGGTTTACCAAAACAGGCTGCAATCACAATCGTATTATTTCAGTCTGTAAAGCCCCACAGAAGTGCTCCTGAAGAGACAGCAGGTATTTAACACACAACATTTAGCAGAAGGGAAATACATGGCAACCGGGGAAACAGGCTGGCAGTTAACAACTTGGAGACTCTAAAGGCTTTTTGCTTCGTGGGAGGAACAGAGGTAGAGCAAATGGATGCAGTATATCAGACGAGGGCACTATCACGTGGGCTTTTCAAAGGTGCTTGAATTTGATGTGGGAGAATAAAGGAAGCCACGAGGGGTTGGAGCAGCGTGACAGGAGAAGCGAGTGGAGAAGACTATTTTAGCTGCCTTGATCCAGATGTAGCACACAGGGATCTGGGGCGGCCAGAACAAACAGTTTGCGGGAGACGCGACAAAAAGCAACACAGAGGAAGGATAAAAAGAGTGAACGCGGCGCACAGAAGTACAACAGACTGTAAGGCAAGCTCCTGGATTTCCAGCACATGAAGTTCAAGAAGCCAGTCCTGTATCAAATACAACAGCTTGCTGCAGGCTTATGTAGCAGGCACTGTAAGAATTACTGAATCGTATGGACAGGCATTTTAGACATGAGCTAAAAATCTCATGACTCTGCAAACTAAACTCATGTTTGTAACAAAGATGTCTGAAATGTGAAAAAAAAAATAATTCGATTGCAGATGGCAGTTAACACCAACCAGAAACTAAGCAGAGAGACTCCTAAGCAGGTCACAAATGAAACAGGAGAGATGTGGAGAAACCCAAGAGCTGTACAAATAACACTGAAGTTGACACCCATGGCCAAAGCGAGGCCCAGCCGTCGGTGAGGAGGGGAAGTCGAGGCAGGGCTCCAAAGCTGCGCTGAAACTCTTGGGAGGCCAACGTGAGCAGGAGTAAAAATGCAGGCTTGGTAAGGGCACAGAAGTGCTGTAGGAGAAGAGCTCTAAAATACTTTTGTCAAGATGTTTTCCACAAAACACACAGGCTTCCTCTGGGAAAGACTAAGAGAACACTCACGGGACACAGAAGACCCGGCTTCTGGTTTGGGCTCTTTGAGGAACTTGCATTAAAACTTCAGAGAAATCATTTTCTATCTCTGACTTACCCAACGCTATCTACTTAGACAGTGAAGTTTGGGCCATTTCTTCAGTTTCTTCACTGAGCATCTCCCACAAAGAGAACTGATCTTATTTGAGTAAGCAAGGTGTTACTGTAATATCACAAAGGTATCATCATGTAGATAACACTTCAGAAGTCTGAACAGTAAGTAGATAGGCAAATTAAGGGTCTTTAGTAAGGGACCTTACCTAGCACTGTGACACAGATGAAAAACAATAAAACTTAGGCAAAACAATTCATGACTACGAGCTCATGAAGTTACGTCAGGCATAAAATCAAGTTGTACAACACAGTGACAGCACCAGTATCTATCAGTTGGTCTTTAAGTAGGCCTGCTAAACAACAAAAAGATAAAATTCTCAGCTAATCACAAAATGAAAACCTGCTTATCACGCAATGTTTATTTTATGACGTGACGTATACAAACATCAGAAACACAAGAGAAAAGTCAATTTAACTCCTCTTTGCATTTTTGCTCTACTGTTTGGGCACATCTCCTAAAGAAATACTACGGGGACAGCATGAAAGCAAAATGAAAGTAGAATACCAAAGGGTTTAAAAGAATCACCTACAGTATAAGGATAGTTCATATGCCTTTACAAAATACTGGCATGCTACGTTTTTGTGTGGGGAGAGTGGAAAAAATGGTTGTTTTCTGCAAGGAATGCAAGTATAGTCATACTCAGTGCTCATACAATGTCCTTTGTACATCACCGAGTACTGCAATACCATTTTTAGGCTTCCACAGGCGGGTGCAGGCTATTAATATGACAAGTCAGCTCTAATGCTGCAAAATGAACCCCATCGCAGAATTACCCTGAAGGCAGTCTGCTCTACGAAATTGTACACCTGTTAAGTCAACATTTTTCACTACTGCTTTCAAAAGCTAATGAGTTTAATAAAAAGAGGCTAACATTTAAGTACTCCAGGATAATTACTTGGGTCACATTCTTAAATACTGTGGAAACGTTTATTTGAGTCAATCACCGTCACACTGTGACTTCATAAGAAATATTCCCACAACAGCAGAATGCTAAGTCACCCTTCAAATGGTTTAGGTAGTCTGCAATTATTGCTTTCTGGCCTATCCACTCCAAATCAAATAATTTCAGAAAACTTGTATTTCAGATAACTTAGTAAAGGTTCATCAATTTTCAAATCACGCATCACTGAATACTAGTGTATGGTACAAAATCCGAAAGTACTTTTTATAGTAAGCAAGGCAAAACTCTTGACAAAATAAAATGTTGTCTTTTAATTTTTTTTTTTAATTTCTACAAAACCCCGCCAAAATTAAATAACCACAGTAATCGTAAAGCTTACTTTAATGGAAGTAACTTGAAACCCCTTAAAAACCAGAATGGATCATCATCCAGACAAACCCTCTACATAAAGAGCAGCTATGAAATAATAACAAACCATTTTTCAGTCAAAAAGTTTACCAACTATGATGAAAAAAATGTCTTCAGTTTTCCACACAATCAAATATGGTACATTTCAAATAAAACTAATTTTCTAAAGTAAGTTAATAATGCAAACACATTCATAATGAATCCGTATCTTCCATCTGTGTAGCATGACCCTCACTCATGCCCCTCAACCTCAGAATCAAATCAAAAACTCCCAAAACTGATGCAGCTCTCTCAAGACCTCCCAGGCAATTCGGGATCTCAATGAGGTGACAGGAGACCATCCTGCAAAGAGGCTGATGTTTTTGTCATGCTAGATCCCCAACTTTTTCTGGGCACATATCAATTTGCCTGTGTAGTTTGTGTTTATCTTAATCCAGTTGTTCTCTTTGTCCAACTTAATCACGCACAAGTGGGCTGGAAAGTGACAGAGCAGATATCAAATTCCCAGCTCCTACATGCTCTATGTATTAAGATGAAAGGAATTTTTACATAGGCCACCATTAAACGTACTTATATGAGCTAATTCCTGTTCTATCTAAAATACAGAATTACAAAAGATGCCAGGAAAATTTCCTGCTCAAAATAAATAATACGTACTACACGGTTACACACTAATAAGAAAGAGAGATGTGTCCTATTCAAGGCAGAGCTAGAGGAACATTGGAGTTTGCGCTTTCCAGGTTATTGTGTCACTACACACCACAGAACACATCCAAACGCAAGCACGAAAATACTTTAATGTTTCCAGCTCTCTCACCTGCAAAGACTCTTTAATTCCCTGCTTTTGTAGGCTTAGAAAAGAAAACAAAAAGATGTATTCATGAAATTCAGTCTTCCCTCTTACTACATTTTTCCTAATAAGCAAAATTCAGCAGTAAAAGGAGGGGAGGGGAAAAAAAGCTCTTCTTTCTTAGCCTATGAATTAGTGCCAAAATGAGGCTGCGGCATTAGTTGTGCCTTTTCCCATTTTAAAACTCCAGCACAACAACTGAGTCCCTGGTCCCAAAACCAAAGATAAGCTCACGTATGTGTGCAGAGCGCTGCTGCACTCTTCAAGGGGCTGCAGTGCTTCCAGACATGTAAGCGCACAACAGTAACGGACTACAGGTATTTCTTGTCAGTAAAATTTCTGTTATTGTCTCAGACAAGATTAGAAAATTATAGAAATTTCTGAAATATTCCATGTTTCATCTTCCTCCTGAAAAATATTTTTTAACCCAGTTTTTTCGAAAGCCAAGTCAGGAATTGCAAATCATTAATGAGTCTTCTACATTTCTGTTCTCTCGTTAAAATAGCAACTACTATGATCAAATGTTAAATTTTGTAAGGGAAAAAAAAAGCGTAGTGCTGGAAGAGGATCCAGAGACTGTTTAATTCAAGCCTACTCATGGAAGCATGAGAAGACGAGCTAAACAGTTCACATTTGTGGTATTTTTTTTCCCTTTCTCTAAATTTATCTTTAAATGTGCTGAGGAAAGGTATTCTGCAACTTCCCAACACGCCATGCGATTAGGCTAGTGATGAGCTAGTCTTGAAGCTGTAATTCTTCACTTTGCATTTAACCTAAATGGCAATATTGTGCAGGAGATGTCAGCGCTCCCCCTAAGACATACAGAGTACTAGATTGCCACTTTCTTACAACAATCTCATACCTATCAAAAGATTTATGTTCCCCATCTCTTTGCTCGACTAAACAAATCTAGTTCTCTCAATCTCTCCTCATAGGTGACGTACCCTGAATCTGTTGTCATTCCTCTTCTTCTCCTCCATAAAACCGAGCACCCAAAACCGGATGCATTTTTCACCTGCGTTTCACCATCCCTAAGCCCAATGAAATGGTTACTTCCTGCATCTCGCACAACACGGCCCTGCTAACGCAATCCTGGACCACATCTGGCTTTCGGCAACGGCATTAGGCTGTTGACTCACACTTGCTTGTGTGTCACTAACGCCCAGCTTCCCTCCTGCGGCACCG